CCCCTTTGCTCGCACGATATAACGACAAAAGACACTTTTGTGACATCACGAATCTCCCACGATCTCTTTTGACACCTGTGAAAGAGATACGATTATTACGCTTAGGGGCGAAGACCAATTCTTTGGAACCCCCTGAGCGCCTCGAAACTAGGCTCAGAATCAAAATCGCAACGAAACCCGTGCCATGGCAGCACATTCGAGACAGAGTAACACCAGAGGAACACGTGACCATTCGAGAGCAGGACGCATAAATGATGGCTACGGTATTCTCCTGGCGATCGGATAATTCGTTTATTTTTGCGCCCCCACCTGAAAACACTAAGAGGGTGAGTACGAAACATATCGATGTACAGATATGGGATGAGCTGTATGAGTTGCACGTGCCCCAATACGTACCTGATGAGATCCATAACCTAATCACGGAAATTTTAAAAGAATACAAAGGAGCGATTAGTATGACGGACACACACATTGGATCGTCGTTAGTCATACAACACGAGATTCAAACCGGAAACCATCCCCCGATTCACTGTAAGCCCTACAGATACTCCCTGGTAGAACGGAAAACGCCCCTTGAGTGGATTTAAGAATTCGAAGCTAATGGTTGGATCGAACCCGCCACTGGGCCATAGTCGTTTCCGGTAGTATTACTGCTGAAGAAAAATGGATCGATTCGCATATGCATTGATTATCGCAAGCTGAATGACATCACGATTAAAGATGTATACCCCTTCCTAGGATTGATGATTTGCTGGATGTGATTGAATGTGCTAATTATTTTAGTAAATTTGATATTCGTCACGACTTCCATCACATTCTGGTTAAGGAGGGAGATCGACTGAAAAACGGCCTTCGTACTATTTAAAGTCATGTGGCAGTGGGTTCGGTGCCCGATGGGGATTTGCAACGCGCCTGCCACGTTTCAGCGGGCTATGAACGTGACATTTCCTAACTTCGTTAACAAGACGCGGCTAACTCAGAGAATGATTAACTTCTGCGTCATCGTGTACATAGACGACATCCTGGTTTACTCGGAGACTTATCACAGCCACGCACAACATATCGAATGGACTTTGGGGGCTCTGAGAGACGCCGGGTTCAAGATCGCTCTCGAGAAGAGCGAGTTTTTCCTCTCAGAAATCTCGTTCTTAGGCTATGTGGTGACACGCAAAGGACAGCGGCCAGACTCGAGAAAAGTCGCGGCGGTGAAAGACGCCCCTGTCCCCACGTCATTGAGTCATTGATGAAGGTTCGAGCTTTCCTGGGGCTGACGTCGTACTATCGTCGGTTCATCAAGCGCTTCGCTGCAATTGCGCGACCTCTAACGAACTTACTGCGGAAGGACCAGCCCCTCAGCTGGGATGCAGAGTGCGAACAGGCCTTCGCCACTCTCAAGAACGCCCTGGCTACAACACCTATTTTGATCCGGCCAGACCCTACGAAGCAGCTCATTCTCATCACGGACTGGCAGCCGGAGGCGATCTCCGCTATTCTAGCGCAAAAAGGGAACGACGACCGAGAACACGTCATCGAGTATGCATCACGCACAGTGCCAGACGAGCGAAGGAACGATTCGGCCCCGCAAGGTGAATGTTACATCGTGGTCTGGGGAATCCAGCACTTCCATACGTATCTTTATGGACAAAAGTTCCTCCTTGCGACCGACCACGAGCCGTTGCTGGCGCTGAAAAGGCTCACCAATCACACGCCGGGTATGATTGGACGATGGGATGCGCGCGTACAGAAATACGACTTCGACATAATCCATTGAAAGATAGAGAGGCATGACAACACGGACGGGTTGACACGTCTGCATCACCTCACCAAGGTACCTAAGGGTGAAGAAATCATTCCGTGGAAGGAACCGGGGTCAACCAACGGACCCAAGTACGAACAAGTGGCAGTCCTTCCACGTGGCAAGAAGCAGACAAGGGGCAATGGGTGACGGAGGTAATCTTGCAACTCCTCTCTCTCCCCTCTCATCTTCATCTTTTCTTTCCCTACCCGATAAATTTTGCTATTTTTGCGAAGCAATCTCGCGTGTCTACTCGGTCCCTATGAGTACTAGTGGGGAAGGGTATGCAGAATGGATAGATTGTCGACAATGTGTCGCACGAGCCCACGGCTCGTGCATCCAGTACAGAAATGGCGATAAGCCTTGGTTGTGTCCCTTGTGTCGGATTGATAAGATCCCGACTGAGGCTCGATTTCTCGACGCCACATCAGAAGGGTTGGAGAAGACCCGAAAGTTTAGAAGGACCGAAGTTTGGACGGACATTGCGCTAATTGCCACCTTAGTAGGTAACCCCCTCCAAGACTTCACTAAGGAAGACAGGAGGAGGGCCAACGAAAGGGCTAGGGACTATCGCTGGAACGAGGGCCGGTTAGAAAAACGAAAGACGGACGGTAGTGGCATTTGGATGGTAGTACCGCACCCATTCATGAGGTATGACTGGGTTAAGACAGCGCACGAAGAAACTGCAGCCCATTTTGTCGTCCGAAATCACGAAAGCGGCCATCGACAAAAATGAATGGTATTGGTCCAATATTCGCCATGATGTGAAATTCATCGTCGTGAACTGTCAGGTCTGGGCCGCTGACAAGGCGCCGATTCAACCGCCAAGATCGATAGTGCCGACGGTAGTCGAACGACCTTTTCAAAAGGTTAGCATGGATACTACCGATCAAAGATGGCAACTGGGATTTTTTGGATTACATGTACCTTACCTACCCATACCCTCTTTGAAAACTAACCACCCATACCCACGGTATAGATGGCCTACCGGACCTTTACCCATCCTTACCTGCTAAAAAAAAAAAGAAGCGTACCCGTACCTGCCCTACCTGAACCCCTTCAAACTGTGACTGGCCATACCTGCCCATGAACTTTCTGTTTCAAGACTACCTATGGCCACCTATACCCAAACCTTTTGTTAACCACCTGTACTGTACCCAACCAATTTTTTTTTTCACCCCTACCCACCCGTACCCACTCACAATTGTATGCACCCACCCATAACCATCCACACTTGGCACCCACCCTCCCCTAACC